CCCCAAAACCCCAAAACCCCAAAACCCCTTATAAACTTCAATAAATTGAAATATTTTTAAAAATGCTTAGAGTCAATACAAACCTGTTAAGTGTAGCTCAGGTTCGATCTAAGAGATCGATGACCCCTCACTTCAGGACTAGCCTCAAGAATAAACGGAGAAGGACCATAGACACATTAGCTACAAACAGTTTCAGAAAATACTTAAATTGGGAGCCTGAGTAAATTTAATAAACCTCGTTAACATTTTGTGAAAAATGGCAATTATAGGGTAAAAGAAGAGGAAAAGATTGAGGAGAAATACATGAAATTCACTGAAAATTCGGAATCAGTTAATCACCAGGCAAGGTATGCAGCTAAATCTCCTTAATCCAGATGTTAATTGCTCTAGAAATTGTCAAAAATGGCATGCAATTTCTCAACTTATTTTGAACAAAGACAGCCAAGGGTTGAGGCAAGTTTGAAAATAGAGTAAATAAGAACCTCAAGTTAGTACTTCCTTCTCATACTTGCAGGTTACAGAAGCTCCGAAGGAGACGAGCAGGGAAGAAGATCTTCAAAGACCAAAACCTCAAATAAAGAGCATCAAAAGCTAGAACACAATATGTCTAACATTCAAATAATTCATAATCAGATCCGGGAGTTAGTAAACAGAGGGAATAACTTTGCTAAATTTATGAATAATTTTCCTGTGAAGAACATGAAGACTAAGCCTATAAAACTTCTCCACTATAATCAAGAGAAATAAACCCAAAGTGAGGATCATCACTAATGAAAAGGAAGATAGTATCAGGGCAAAGAGGAATTCACTTGATGATAAGTTTCAACTAATTGACTCAGAGCACCTGCTTCAAAAGGTTCAGGGCAAGCAAGAACAGTGTTCACACAAAGAGGAAGATAATTTGAAGTCTTTACAGAAGAAGGAGAAGTCTAAAAAGCAGAAGTTATCATTTAAGCCAAAACAGAGGCTTAGTAAGTTACTGTACTCTCGAAATACGAAGAAATATCGTAGCTCGAAAAATTCATTAATGGAAATGAAGAAAGGGTATAGGATCGAACGTATTCTAAGCGGGAAAGAGAGATTCTTCAAAAGAGGAGCCTCAGCAAAACCGGTGTCAAAGAAGTATGCAGAGTCTTGTATTGATCTTAAAGTCAATAATTCTTCAAGCCAATTAAGAGAGAACTCATCGGCATCTCAGAAATATCAGTCCTGCCAATCAGCAATAAATAATAAGACAAATTTGAGTTATACGAATTTTAAAGATCTTGTGAAAGATAATCCGATGTTGGGGTACCTCTTGCCAAAATATAAGAATACCAAACTTGAAAGACCTTCCAATGAAGAACATAACATCAGCCAGCCAATTATTGGAGATCAGAGACCATTAAGTCAGGGTGGAAATAGAGTTAGATCAGGATATATTTCTAGGAATCACTCAATCTCTAACCCTGCAAAGTCGATTAAGGATATAAAATCTTCCCTAACTTCAGAGGTCAGCAAGAAGTTACTGAATGTTCAAGTACTAAAGCCACCGAATGACAAGACTGAATCAAGCGATAGTCTGAATAGGAATGATTGTTCAAGAAGTCCTCCAAGATGCCATTTTAGGAAGATGAGACACCGAAGAAGAGTTCGAACAAAGAGATTGACCAAACTTGCTAAAATTTCGAGAATAAAGAAGAATAATAAATCTCTTCTGAAGCATGCTTATAAGGAATTTGCTATAAGATAAGAAAGCCTGCTAATAACTTTTCAATCTATAGCATTAAATTCGGGGTTTTGGGGTTTTGGGGTTTTGGGGTTTTGGGG